TGAGAGTGCAGATTGGCCCACCTCCCCGCTGAGCAAGTGGGCGAGCCAATCAAGTGAGGAGGACTGGCCGACCATCGGGCGAGCGCTGGCCGAACTCGGGAACGCGTGGAAGTTCGTTATGAGCTTCCAACGCCGAGTTCTAATCAGGTCGGCGCAATTCCTGGAGTTACCCGGTGCAGGAGTCTTCCTCGGCCCATGGCTCGACAAACTCGAGCGGTGGCAGCGCTATGAGCTAGCGGTCCGGGCAATACAACGAGGGCAGTCACCCGTATTCTCGGCACCCCCTCCAGTATTGCCCTATCCGGAGTTCCGCCGGGCGCCCGGCACGGAAGGCCAGCGCCCCCAAGGGCCTAGAGCCCCTAGGCCCACAGCTCGGACGACGCCCGACCAGGACAGCGAGGACACACCGGCCCCGGAGCCAGCCCATCATGGTCGCGTGAATGTGGACGCCAACTCCTCCGGGGGAAGCACGGTGACGGTCAACATCAGCCAGCGTCACGGGCGCTGGGCGGAACACCATCATCCGCAGAGGGCCCATTCCCTGGGGAGAAGGGAACGGAGTCGCGCGAGGAGCGCGAGCCGCGCCCCAAACCCCAACATCGTTGACCCGGAGGGACGCCGGGAGGGCCAATCACGCCGAGACGCCGAGGGATGCTACGTTTGTGGGCATCCCGGCGTCTCCAAATCTTCACGTTGCCCGAATCTCACCCGCCACGGCGAATTCCGGCGCGACCGCAGTCACCGGCGCCACTGATAATTGCCCACTGGGACAACGAAATAAATGATTTTCACCTCATATCACTGCCACATTCATTACACTTCACCCCCCCTCACCTCGCTAATCCTTACCCTCGTATAGTCACTCCGCGCTATAATCGTCGAATATTTCCCCGGGTATCATCCGACTAGGAGGGGGCTATAACGGCCGGGGCCGTTTTCGCGGAGGATCGGTCGCGCACGAGTCCGAGCGCGACCAAGGGGACAAGCGAGCGAGGAGCGAAGGAGAGAGAGATAGCGAGACTAGAGCAGGCGCGTGCCGTAGCGGGAGAGTGGGGGGAGAAAAACGATTTGAGAGGACTTCGACTAAGACCGGGAGGCGAGATTGATCACGACGTGCTCCCGCGAACCCAAAAGAAAAAGGTGTGAAGAGCCAAGAAGGAAAGTGTCCGAGTGTTGAAGAAAAGTGCGAGTGTGCGAGAAAAGAAGGCCGATCCCCAAAGGTCGTCGCAGACTGTGGACAGTCGTCTAAAGCGGGCAATTACCAGGGGCAGACTTTGCCCGCCCGAGTAAGGGCGACGACGCGAGTGACGAATAAGAAGTAGTCTGGCTGCAGCAGCCACTTCGCGGTGAGTTCCTCTCTGTTAATAAGTGCCGAGTTTGCGTGCGTTTAGTTACGCGAGCGAGCGCCTCTCTCTCCCTCCGGATTAATACGCGAAGCGAAATCTCGGCGTGCGAATTTGTATAGAAAGTCACGTAAATAAAGCCTGGTTTAACCCGTTCATGTGTTGACGTTGTGTTGAGTGTACCTGGGGAGGCACCTCTGTCCCTTCCTACGCCCGTGATTGAGACTCACGCACGCTCTCGTGCATTAGCCGTGCTTTCGCGATCCCTTTTCAGGGCAGCGCGTGCCCGCCCGTATTCGGCGGAACGCCAGCAAGCGGCCAGCTGACCGGGGCGGCGGTGAGCCCCGCACCGACCAGTTGAATTAAAATCTCTAACGGGCCATTAAAATAATTTGATTATTTAGCAGACCGTTACATGACATATTAAAAAATTATATTCATGGTTCGAAGAAACCAGAATTACAAGTTTACGCGGCAGTGACAACTTTTTTATCACTCACAGAAGTAAAAACTAGATTAATAACACCAGACAGTGCTGTATATAATTTTTGCAAGAGAGTCGATAGATCAAGCACTCATCGGTGTAAAATTAGTTATTTGAATGGCAATTTTTTTATTGTAGGCATAAGTAAAAAGATTAATAATTTGCCAGAGCACGTGCAGGAGGCTTTTGCAAACATAAATATTATTTTAGGAAATAGCAATATCCGTGTATTTCAAAGAGTTCTTATAAATAACATTTATTATGAGTCTGAATCGTATGCCGCCAGAAAAGCTACGAATTCATCTTGTGTATCATATATATTCAATTATGAAGTTAACGCAGGTATCACCGATTCTTTTATACATGTTTGTAATTGCGACAATTGGCAATCGTTCCAACACTATTTAGAAAATTGTTTAACGTATGTCGTAATTTCGCAATGTAATGTAAGAGAAACATTTCTTTATCCGTTAGTAATGAATTTTGTTCCGACTATTTTTGAGTGCGAGAGACTAACCGACACATATTTGGTCATAAATCTCGATGCCATTAAAGACATTTTGTTTTATATTAAGTTTCATCATAGAACCTATGTTGTAGAACGTCTTAATAATTACGAAAGAGAATGAACTTTGTAAATGACGAAATCAATTATGTAATGTGACAAACGTCAATAGCTTTATCACACTTTTGAATAAAACTCAATTTTTATATTTTATTTGGTACAAGTTCCACCAAACTTTATCCAGATTTCAGATTATTTTACAAAAATAAGATTATACTTGTCTAAAATCCGGCCAAACTTTAATCAGATGTCTAATCAAAAATAAAAAAAAAATGTTTTAATTACATTTGTCTGAAGTTTGGTAAAACTTCAGCCTAACTCCCAACAAAACTTAAATAAAATTAGGAAACGTTTTGCCAAACTTTTTGCAAATAAACTGATCGAATAGGAAAGTTTGGCATCGTCCCACGAAAAAAGTTTTGCCAAACTTTAACCAAGGTAAGTTTGGCGAACGTTTGGTAAAAATAAAAATTTTTTTACGCGGGGGTCCTCGCGAGTTCGACCTTGAACGAAAGTGATGCGTTGTAGTAGTCCTTAAGGCCAGGATTTGTTGGCGAAGTTCATTGATTTCGCTCTCTAGTTGTTTTTGTTTATTGTAATCCATTGATGAGTCGTTTATGACTGGTGCAACGTAAACGCCAGCGTCCTGTTGGATGCGCCAGAGAGTGTTGGCGAGCTCGGCTTGAGCTGTTATCGTTGAGAGCAGCTGCCGCTAACGCAACTTGAGTTTCGCGTGGCAGCTTTTGCGCCCAGAGAGAGTAAACGAACGTTGAGTCTAGTTCGCTTCCAGCGAGCGCCGTCATGTTCGCCAAAAGTTCTGAGGGCTTTTGTGAACCGAGGTTAAGGCCGGAGACTAGTTCGCGATATCGCTGATCCTGCGTTTTAGCAAAATTCTTTAGGATTTCAGTTTTTAGTGCTTCATATTTACCTTGTTCGGGTGGACTCATCACCACAATCCTGAGTTTTTTTAGTACTTCTTGGTCTAACTTACTCACAAGGTAGTAAAATTTAGTGCTGTCGGACGTTATCCTCCGTGTAGCGAAAAGCGCTTCGACGCTACCGAGCCATAGTGCTGGTTCTGCCGGCTAGAAGGGCGGAATAGGCATGCTATCATTCGTAACTACGTTGACACCAGATTGAATTGTTGGTGTATTCGATGTATTCCCTATTGCTCCGTTGTTGGTTTTTTCGTCAGCCTTGTTAATATGTTTGTGAGCGTCTAAGGAATTATCGTCATTGGTTTGCCCGTACATGGTATCGATGAGGTATTAGGAATGTCAACAAGGCGCGAGCTCGTTCGGTGAAAATTGTAAACACGCGGCGTTCGTGTTTTTTGGTGAATTCCTGGAATGTTAACCGGTCCGTTTGCGTGTTGATGTGCCTACTGTGGCGTCACACGCTCTTGTTCGACCGTTGGTGAAGAATGTTGTTTTATGAAGAATTGCGATGTTTACGTAGTCCTTTTCTTCCGTTTGAAATAGCGTTTGAGGCTCTCCCTTTCTTTCTTTATTTTTAGAAGATAAAATGTCAATTGCGTGCCTCGGTTAAAGGCTTACTTGTGAAATGTGTCCACTCGTTCCGTTATCTTCGGCAGGTTCGCACTTGTATAAAATCCGAATTGCTGAGGTTCACTGGCCACGCGATGTCGCGTACCCGTACAGCGTTTTTTTGCTTCAATTTACTCCCTGCACCTCCGAGATCACGTCGGGATCACTAATGTGGGGATCCAGGGATGCCGAGGCGGGAAAGCCCGCGTAAAAAAATGAAAAGTTTTCCCAAACTTTTGCCAAACTTACGTTGGCTGAAGTTTGGGAAAACTTAAAAATTGAGACGATGCCAAACTTACTGGTTTATTGGCTATGTTTGTGTCAAGTTTGGCAAAACTTTTTACTAACTGTAGCCATTGATACATTTTTTTAATACTTTTTTAACCGACTTTGGGCGATGTTTGTAAAAACTTGGAACAAACTGAATTTTAAGATTTGCATTCACAAAGCTCAGCCAAACGTTATACAAACGTAGCTATAAAACATTTAACATCATATATCTAGTTTGGAATAAAGTTTGCCCAAACATTAGCTAATTATTTTTTATTTTCAATCGGAATATAAAGTTTGGCAGAACTTTATCAAAACTCGAAACCCACAATTTGATTCGATTTTTTCGTCATTGTCGTAAGTTTGGCAAAACATACGACAAACTTAATTTCAATTAACCGTTTTTTACAATATTTTATTTGTGTGTTTGGCTAAACTCTATGTAACTTTTGAAGGTACACCATCCGTATCTCTAGCTAATAGGATTTTAACGAAATAGATTATTCGATCTACAATTAAATATCAAACAGTGTGGTTATGTTTTTAAGATTTAAAATATTTGAATTTTGTAATTTCACAATCAATTTAATAATTAAATATTTTTGTCTTGATAATCATGAATGTTTCTTATATTTTTTATGATGTTCTGTTCTATTTTCGTATTCCCACTCATCTCCCCATTGACGTTTCTTTCTTTCTCTTGTGCCTTGTTTGCCCTGGTCACTTCGTACTTCTTCGCGATATTCCTTTTCAACTGATTTTTCTCCTTTTTGGTCGCATTTGCTTTTCTTTCAACGTTGTTGCTCTTCCTCGTGTCTTATCTTTTTATCATCACTCTTACTTTTGATTTCATCCTGATTTTTTCGGTATTCTTTTGCTCCTATTTTCCCGTCTGACCCTTCACTTTTTTTTCTATCTATCTTCTTTTCCTCATACAGCCCTTTTCCATCAGATCTTCGACTCTCAACTAGCAGTTCGGTATCTTTCTTGCCATGTTGTTCTTTCTCATGTCGTTCCGTTCCATCAGATTCTTTTCTTTCGCTCTTCTGTTCGACCTTCTCGAGGCTTTTTTCTCCGTTTTGCCTTCTCTCTTTATTCACCTCGTTTATACCATCTCGCTGTTTCTCAAATATTGGTTCACTGCTTTTTCTGCGATAATTTTCGTTCATGTATCGTTCCTTATCATACGGCTCTTTTCGCTCGCTTGTATGTCTAACTCTCTCCTTGTCTTGCTTTCTCTCTTCATTCTGGCAGGATTTACCAGCCTGCTGGTGCTCGATCTCATGTTTGCTGTTCTTTTTACGATGCTCTTACTTGTTGTACCGTTTCTTTGCATCCCCCTTACTCTCAGCCGACTGTCCACTCTCATTATCTCTCTCTCTCTCTCTTCGTGCTCTTCATTACTTTTTCGTTGTTTCTCTATCACAGATTCGCGAATTTTTCTGAGATGCTTTTCCTTTGCGTGCCCTTCATTTCCATCAGATTCGTTTCTTTCATTCGCTTTTTCGTTTCTCAGTAGACTTTGTTGATCTCCCTTATATTGTCTCTTTTCACCAGGTTTGCTCTTCTCATTAAACTGCTTATTCTTGTCGCCTTCTCGTTTTCGCACCTCGGATTTCTCTTTCGCACTAGAACCTTGCTGTTCATCTGCTATTTCGGTATTTTGATCACTCGAATTGTCTTCTCTACTGCTCACTACTATTTCTTCCTCATAATTTTTACTTTTACTGCTGTTACTTCCTTTGCCTGTATATAAAATGTTTATTTACACTCATTGTTATATATCAGTTCATTACATTTTAACATTTTACCTTTAGTATTTTTATTTCGAATCTCTTCCATTGTTCGTAAATCACCTTCTGTCATATTCTTGAAGCTACTATTAGTTTGATTCGAGTGAAACTTTGTTTTTTGCGACAAACTTCGCCTGAAAGATTTAACCGAAGAATTGCCGTTGGCCATACAAATATTGGTTCCTTTTTTGCCTTTTGGATTTCTCAAAGTTGCGCACTTGGATGTGATGACTGCAGTATATTGTTCGTGAGTAAGCCTAAACTGAGGTTTTGTGTTCAAGTTTACAAAGCCTATATGGATTCAAATGGAAATATAATTATTTAGTCTTCTATTAAAGCTTTACTATATCGTAGATATCAGTGAATATCAAACGAACTAACAATATTTTCTTTATAAATTCACCTTTAATAAATACTGTGATGTAGAAGAAAATATACGAAACGATAAATTTATCGTTCTATTTTTATATTTTAGCATTACGATACTTATAAGAAGTAAGTGCGTAGAGCAAATGTTGTCCATTCGTTTGTGTATCTATAGATATCTATATAAGTTATATAATTTAATTTTTACTTTGAACATCTTCAAAAATATTTTCGGGGATGGGTTCCCTGTTATTTCCCCCCTTTGCAGATGATTTTTTCAGCATATCGATTCCAATAAGATCAACTAGTAAACGACGAACCATTTCTTTAGGATTTTTTCTGTACGAAGTTCTGTAAACGCTAAGTTTCCATTCGGGTAATTTGCACTTGGAGCCCTCTACTATTGGAACCTAAATTACACAATTTATATTATAAAATTGAATGCACTATTCAGACATCTTCGAAAGTCGTATCTTACCTCTCGATTTTTGGTGAAACCAGCTTTTTTATTAATGTTCTGCAAAACAAATATGAGCAATAAAAAAATTTTGAAATTTTTTCAATCTAATAATAGTGACTTACATCAAGGTCTTTTAAGACTTCTGGATTTATGGCTTTAGCAAGGTCCAATATCATTTGCAATTTTCGTATATCTTCTTCGGTAACTATAACAATAAAAAAAAAAGGATTATTTTAAGTGGTTGAAAATTTAAATCTTTTAAATTAATTTTATTTGCTCAATATTTGGAAGCTGTGAACATATACAATTTCGCTCTGCGCCCTTCTTATTCTCATTTTCGTTGCCCTCGTGCGTCATGACGACATTGTCATCCGGCTCAGAATAATTTCTTCCATCACTCTCTTCCAGGTCTAATTCATCTTTCCTACATTAATAAACGACATAATTATTATTGTGTACCTAAATAGTAAATCAACTTTTACATTGTTATGTTTAAGGGGGTGCCACACCTCTGTTTTACCGACTTTTTTTTGGGGCGTATTTTCTCCAAAAGTACTTAACGGCGCAAGTGGAGATTTTCATAAAAGTTTCATTTTTGAAGAAGAGAGAAAAATCGTCATCTTGATTATTGAATAAGAAATAGGCATGATTATTGGAGACGAGTAGGCATCGATCGATCAGCTGGTCGTCGTAAGCATTGTTTATCAATGAAATGTTCATACAGTTTGTAGATCACGCATAGCAACGCGGCGCGACAACGCTTTTTTTGATCGGAAAAAATTATTAATCAGATTTTCTTGTTGGATATTTTTTTTTCAAACTTCACCAACAAGATGACCGTACTTCGCTCTCTTTTTCAAAAATGAAACTTTTGTGAATGTCTTTACTTGCACCGTTAGTACTTTTGGAGAAAATACGTCAAAAAAAAAGTCAGTAAAACAGAGGTATGGCACCCCCTTAAGCTAATTAAAATCTGTGGACAGGTTTGACGCGCTTGTATGATCAAGCTTTCAATTTACAGAATGGTCAATTACGAAATATTTAACGCGGACGAGTTTTAAAATTTCACGATACGCAATTTTTTCTTAAGATACTACAGCTCATATACAAGTACAAATTCGTGTATGAACAAACATGCGCCGTATGGTATAATGAGTACCGCAATGAAAGCTTTTTTATAGTGTTGAGTCTTACCTTTCATTTTCACTATCATCTTCTGAAAAAATTGATCGTTTTTCCAAAACCTTGTATCCCTGTGCTCTTGACGCCTTCTTATTTAGTTCGTTCAACCTCTTGTTCTCCAAACGATTAGTTTTTTTCGCTGAAGGCCGCGACATTTTGTTGCAGTTCCTTATCTCACTATTGTCTAAGATAATGTCTTCTTTTGACACGTGCAATGAATCGAGCCACTCTTTGCTACCTATTTATTAAAAATTAATTATCAGATAACGTATAGTTTGAAGAAGTGCATAGGATTCGTTAAAAAATCAAACATACAAAACTTTTGTAGGTTTTAAGGTACTTACTATTGACACGTATTACTTTTACCGGGTAATAAGAATCACCCCACTTTGCAGTGACTCCGTTACAATTTTTTTTAATGTGTGTTATTGGAATCGTACTCACGTCTCTAGTATTAGACCATAGAACCAATACGTATATCGGTTGCAGAAATTTTCTGCGGTTATGTAAACGAAAGGTTAACATTCGAAGTACGACATGAAATCATCGATGCCTTTTTTTTTGAATGTTTTTATAGCCTTAATAACCTTGCGATGTGTCTACACATGTAACTACACATGATAGCTTCCACGAACTGGTAAGTATTCATTTCAGGCATAAATTATAATTAATAGAATGAATAATACAGTAATAAACTAAATATTTTGCAGGGTGAATTTTCTATATTCCCATCATGAATGAAGGGCGTACTTTTGAAAGCTATTCGCGGGCATCTCGGTATCGCTATATCAACAGGCTCAGGGCAAGCAATTCAGAAAGTGAAAGTTCTAATGATTCCACAAGTTCAACAACTGTTAGTGTGAGTGATTTTATTTTTAGTATCATATCAAAAAATTGCACTGTGCTTAAAATCATATTAGTAAATCATAGGTTTTAACATAAAATATTTCATGGGACATTTCTAAAATTACATTTAAAGTTTTACTACCCACGTAGTGCTTGAGTGTAAACAACTTTTTTTCCCCGCGGTTGTACCTAAAACATATTAATTAAGAATTACGAATTTTGTTTTGTTCAATTGGCATAAACACAACTAATATTAACGCTTATGTTTCTGTAGAATTACTCCGACACAGACTCTGAAAGCAATGAAGGTAATGACACCGACGATAATCATAATGAGCAGGAGAGCACTTCGAGCGATGCTGATATTGGAGATCGACAAAGCTTAGAAAATGCGCACGAAAATAATAATGATGATAATGATTCTACGTTCGAACAGCAGGGTAAGATATTATGATCACTCAATTCTAGTGGAAAACTTGTACACTTATTAATTTCTGCACGATATCAATCCATGAGTTTAGTCTCTTTTCTAACTACTATAAGTACAGTAAAATAATAATCTCATTTATATTTATATCATTTATGTAAGCTAATTTATAAGTCCGCGCATGAAAAAGTGTTATTAGTAGGCACGTATAATAATCTCTGAATTCGCGCGACTATTTAAATATATTTTGATTATATTAGTGGTTTTTGGAACATAGGGAATAAAAAATAGATCAAACCTCCGTTTTTTTTGTATTATTAATTATGTTAACAGGGAAAAATAAAAAAAATGACGCTTTTATCATTCCGCGTAATAAAGGGTTTTAAAGCAAGAAAAAGCGATGTTGCTGTTACAGAGTGATCGCGGCTGGGTACGGCACAGTGACTCGCGACGGGTTTTCAATGTAGGTTATGATGAAGCTGGGTGCGTTTTAACTCCTCGTTGTAGATCGGCATGTCGTGCCGCTCGAGTCCCGGCAGGCAACACTCGGACGACTACATCTGATCTTCGGTGATTACACTCTTGAATGTGCGCGCGGAGGTCAGCTGTAAATCTCGTCAATTTTCTTTTTCTCTCTTGGATACAAGCGACGTAAATACAATCGTCCTACGTGTTTATTTCACACATCACACGCGTCTTACTCTCCGGCCCATAGAGCGTAATAATGGCGTAAGAAGAAAAGAGAAGAGAAGAAAGTAAAAAAATATCAACAAGATCTACGGCTGATTGAAATCACATTCAAGAATTTAAAAACCTAGAAAGCGACTCTTATTTTACCCGGCGCGCCGACCTAAGTCACCTGGCCGCACTCAGCCTTCGACCAAGCCGCTGCAGCTGCACCCCGACTCTCTCTCTCTCACTCTCTTTCAGTCACATTCGAACCCTTTTTCTTGCGCATTTTGGGAAATACATTTGTCAAATGAATTTATAAATTATGTTTAGTAGTTTTAAACTTTTTCCTATTATGTAGTTTGCGTGATCATTCCAATGAAGATTGTAGTCAATATATAGTCCTAAATATTTAACTTTTTTTGATGGGTATATGGGAGTGTTATTTATTAGTAGAGAGTAATTTTTAATAGCAGGATAGGGAGCTTTTGTGAAGATAATAAATATTGTTTTTTTAGCTGAAAGAGTTAATTTTAATTGTAGAAAAAAGTTGATTATGAGTTCAAGAGTGTTTTCTAATATGTTTATTGATTGTTTGATATCTGGAACAGAAGTATATATAATAGTGTCATCTGCGTATTGGATTAATTTTACGTTGGGAGGTATGATTTGTGAGAGTTCATTTACATATAGATTATATAGTAGGGGGCTTAATCCAGATCCTTGAGGAACTCCTATACTTTTGGAATGTGGTCCAAACAGATTATTACCGATTTTGAAGAGAAGGGATCTATTGGTAATTAGATTGTAGATGAAGCATCTGGTTTTTTTGGGATTTTTAATTTAAGTAATAATTTGTCAAGTATATTAGGACAGACATTGTCAAAAGCTGATTTTATGTCAATAAACGTACAAAGGGTGTTTTGGTTATTGTTGTTTGCTAAATAAATATCAGTAATTAGGTGAGTCAAAGCATGTTGACAAGATTTACTTTTTCTGAAGCCGTATTGAGATTCTGTTAAGAGATTATTTTTTTCAATGTAGTGATGTAATCTTGTGTTGATTAATCTTTCTGTTAATTTCAGTATGCATGAGGCTAATGATATTGGGCGAAATTTATTTTTGGATTTTTTAGGTATTAGCATTATTAAAAAGTTTTTCCAGGTATCATGAAAAATACCATTTTCAAAGTAGTGATTTAGTGAAGATAGAAGTAACATTTTAAAAGATGGTGGGGTGTTTTTTAACATTTTGTAGTCTATTTGGTCAAGGGCAGGTGTGGAGTCTTCTTTGGTTGCTTTCAAGGATAAATTTAGTTCGTCTATATTGAAAGGAGAGTCAAGATCTTTTTGTTTATTTGTGTGTTGTTCTATATGATTATACAGGGTGTCCAAAAAGTTTCGGGACACCCCAGTAAGTCCTGAGATATAACTATTTCCGAGAAGATTAAGATCATTCCTGTAGTAACTTTGAACGAGGAATCGAGTGGTGACCTTGGTTTTGATCTTGACCTTGACCTTCAAGGTCATTTCAAGGTCAACTTTTTTTTTCAAATGGGAACCCCTATTTTTGACAACGGTAATCCAAAGAGCGGGAAATTTTACGTCCAAAACGGTATTTTAAAATTTTTTTTCATGGCCTTGAGAAGGTCGATTTAAGGTCAAATGCTTGAAAAACTGCCTAAAAGCGTTTATTTAATTTTTAAGATATCGAAAAATGACCTCTACAAAATTTGTTCAGAACAGAGTGGGCCATCCAATGCACCAAAAACCTTTGACCTTTAACCTCATTTTAAAGGTCATTTCAATGTCGAAGTGTTTTTTGTAATGGAAACCCCTATTTTTGACCCCGGATTCGCACATAGCGCGAAATCAGAAAGAAACATTCAAAACGCAGTGAGTGGAAAAAACTTATCCGGCAAAAAAACTGTACCTATGTCTCTGCTTGCTCCTCATTTAAACAACTTGACTTTCGGTTTCGATAACCCGTTACTTTATTATTCAAACAATCAAAGGTGACGTTGAAATAACCTTAAAATGATCTTGAAGGTCAAAGATAAGGTCACTGTAACATTAGGGTGGTTCTTAATTTTTTTTTTCTTAGTAGACCTTAGGTCTGGGTTAAAATGGCTTCTCGGTACTCTAAAAACTATGCGCAAATAGTTTTTAATTTTTTTTTATTGTATTAACACGTGTCTCAAAGCACCTCAAGTTTCCTATTGATTTTATATGGGAAAAACGAGTTAAACGGTTTACCCTTCCAAAACCTAGTCTAATTTTCGGATTTTTAATTTTGAAACCACATAATCTTGTGTATTTTAAGTCGCCAAATCGAAGGGCACTATTAGTTTTTGTCTAAAATGCCATTAAAAAATTTTATAAGCGAAAATTGTCAAAAAAATGGAAAAATCAGTGAAAAAAAGACAATTAACTAGTTTGTAATGTTTGTAACCAGTCAGTGATGTTTTTAGAAATACATATTTCCATGTATTTTGAGCTGCCAAATCGAATGGTATCATTAATTTCCTGATAGCTAAGCGGAATATTGAAGTTATAGGCCAATATCGGTGAAAAACTTGGAAAATCACCGGAAAACGGCAAATAACTTGCATACAATGTTTATATCGGGCAATATATCAGAAATTTCTTCGCGCTCACGTCAATTTCTATATATTTAAAGCCGCTGAATTGAAGAGTACGAGTATGTTTTTGTCAGTATAGCCACACTATTTAGTTGTAAACCAAAATCCTTAAAAAACCCGCGTAAAGAAAAGGAATAAGAATCGTATACTTTTGATGAACATAATTATCAAATTTTTCCAGAGTAGTTCATATATTTTTTGACACAAGAAGAAAAAACAACGACTTATTTCTGACATTTTTTAACTATGAAATTCAAATTGTAGTAAGTACACGTATAAATTTTCACTGTCGTAAAAAATAAAACACATGAGGTGAAATCCTAAAAAGTTACTATTTCAAAATTGAAGCTGCTTTGTAATTCATGGTTTCGACCGACGGGGGCGCTATAGCTCGAACTGGAATGCCATGCATTAGGCTTCAATTTTGAATTGAATAATTGAACATAATTGATAATTATGTTCATCAAAAGTATACGATTCTTATTCCTTTTCTTTGCACGGGTTTTTTAAGGATTTTGGTTTACAACTAAATAGTGTGGCTATACTGACAAAAACATACTCGTACTCTTCAT